CCACCTGTTTACAGTCTCTCAAGAGCTGGGATTACAGGCTTGCGCCACCACGCCCAGTCTCAATTGCCGTCTCAGCGTGTCCCGGGGGCGGGGCCTGTACAGCTGGCCTTGGGATTGAACCCCTGGCCCCTGCGCCTGCTTGTAGGTGCTTTAATCTGCTGAGCTGTTTGGCTGGCTCTACTACCTGAAAATTTAAAAATTAAATTAATTGGAATACATAGAAGTAAAAGTAATGTAGCTGCAGTGAAACAGTATGATGGGGCCCTAAGCCACAAGCCAGTGGTGTCTAATGGTCTGAGCTGGCAGCGCTGTGGGAGGTCGTGCTGTTTGTAGGTTTACTGTTTTCCAGACCTGCAGAGGGGGTGAAGGGACTTTGACAGGGAGTTCCCTCCTGCCTGAGTGTCCCTGAGTCCCTGAGTCCCTGCCTACTGTCCCTGAGTGTCCAAGCTGCTCCCTGCCTTTTGAGCACATTCCTGGGCACAGGAATGCCAGGAATGGTCACCCTTTACCTGCTTGCTTCAGGTAGCCACATCTTAGTGAGGCGCTGTCTTCAGACAGGGGCCCTGGCCCCGAGTTGGGCCACTGACTTGCAGGCTGATGCCTGTGTCGAGGGGTGGTGTCTGTGTGTCTTGATGTGGGTGCAGATCGCGTGCCCCACTCAGTCCTAGTGTTGGGGCTCAGCAGGAGGGAAGGAAGCTGCGGGCAGGCCCCAGGGCTCCCCAGGATTCCTTGGCTGGTGGAGCCTTGTGTTCATGGTGCGAACACCTGTAAAGCTGCTGTGGAGTGGGGCTCTGGTAGTGCAGAGGTTATATGAGCCTGGCCTTTCTGCAGGTTCTGGGGGAGGGCGTGAGAGGCCCTAATGTGCATCCCGCCCCAAGGAACCATTCAAGACAGGAAAATGCCTCCAAAGGAAGCTGAAGGGGCCTACAGTGAGGGTGTGGACCTAGTTTGGAGTCAGGAGGCTTCTGAGGAGGGGACCCTGGAGCCAGGAAGTGCCCCAGGGCTTGTTGGAGAGGCCCAGCCTGGACTTGCTGAGAGGGTAGGAAGGAAAGCTGCAGGGGCAGAGACCAGGTTGGGGCATAGACCAGGTTGTGCGGTTGTGTGGTTGTGCGGTTGTGTGGTTGTGCGGTTGTGCGTGTGCAAGGGAGGGGTAAGAAGCACCCCAGGTTACAGGAAGCTAAGAGACCAGAGAAGGTTTCAAAGGCTGCTGGGAAGAAGGGTGCAGGGAAGCCAGGGGGCTGGAAGGGGTTCTTGACCCCCAGCTGGGCTTTTATGGTCTGGCAGTTAAATGGGGAGTGGGGTATAGACCATCATATGCCTGGCAGCTCTGGAGCCAGGCCCACCAGAGATCCTTTGGGCCCCTCAGCCCCTGCCGGCTACACCAACCACTGTTGGCCAAGGCAGTATCTGCAGTGGTGGGTGGCAGCTGTCAGAAATGGTTTCTGAAAGGAAGCAGGATTCTTTTTCTCAGACGATGCCCGTGGAAGATGGGGCAGACCCCCAAGAGGGGTCTGAAGAAGCCGAAGAGCCTGGAATGGACACGCCCGGAGGAGAGGGAGGTGGGGAGCCTGCTGGTCCTGCAGAGGGGACACGGACTGGGTGGTGGGCGCAGGGGCAGCAGGTCATGGAGGCAGAGGTGGGAGGCAGGATTCCTGGTGGGGTGAGCCCTGGCCCCATTTCTGGGGTCAGACATGCTCTACATGGTACCTGTATTCCCCTGTCTGTCCCCACTCTAGATGAAGATTCGCCCCGCTGTCCAGATGGCATCTTGAGTGAGAAACGCACACCCACACCAGAGCCTGAACCTTGTGAGGTGACTGAGCCTCTGGCCAAGAGGTCAAAGAGGTAGGTGATGCCAGGCAGGTGCCAGGACCCAGGTGCTCTGGACTTATCTCTGTAGACATAGGCTGGGGAGGCAGGAGCTGACCCCATGGAAGGTGGGTCCAGATTCCTGTAGTGTGGAGAAAAGTTAGATTTGCTTCTACACCTTCCTCTGAAGGCTTCAGGCCAGACCTAGAAGCCAGACTGGGGGCCAGCTTGGGGGGCTGATGATTATGCCTGAGACCTCGGGGTGTGGCAGAAGGTGGGCAGCTTGGCAGGGCTAATTGGAGATGTATTAGTAAGTGGTGGGAAGGGGGAAATTTTCTTCAGTGTATGAAAGTGACACTGACGCCCCTGTGTTAGTGTTGCTGTCCCTGGGATATAATAGTTGACACCCACAATCGAAAGGCGGTGGGGTAGGTTGAGCTCTCTAGATGGTTTTATGGATTCAGTGCGTAGTTGGCTGACTATAAAGCAGCAGTAGCGTAGCAGAGGAAAGCTGCTTAGTTCATGGCAACCAGGAAGCAGAGTAGGAGAGCAGGGCCAAAGCAGAAGGAGCAGGTGACCATAGAGAGTGCCCAAGGTCGTGCTTTTGGTGATCTACCCAGACACACCCAGAAGTTGTACCTTACTAATCTGGCCTTGAGTCTCAATCCAATCAA